GAGGACGTGCCCACCACCAGCTCTGTGACCCCCTGAGGACGTGCCCATCACCAGCTCTGTGACCCCCTGAGGACGTGCCCACCACCAGCTCTGTGACCCCTGAGGACGTGTGTACCCTATGCCCTGAATATCCCAACAGTACTTATCCTCTGGAGTTGTGGTGAGGACTGAAGTCACAGATGAAAGGCACTTTCTACAGGAACCAGAACATAAAAACTTGGCTATTATTGCTAACTGTGTTATTATGATAATGAAAATACACTGCTTTTATTATCAACAATAGAACGATATCAACTATAGAAAAAGAGCAACAATGAGATACCACTTTACACCCGTTAGGATGGCCATTATCAAACAAACAAAACAAAACAGAAAACAACAAGTGTCAGCAAAGACGTGGAGAAATAGGAACCCCCGTGCATTGCTGATGGGAATGTGAAATGGTGTAGCTGCTGTGGAAGCAGCACAGCAGTTCCTCAAAAACCGAACATAGTCACTGTATGAGCCAGCAATTCCACTCCTAGGAATATACCCAGGAGAACTGAAAGGACTCAGGACAGACATCTGTACAGCCATGTTCACGGCAACATTATTCACAAGAGCCAAAAGCTAGAAACAACCCAAAAGTCTAGGAACAGAAGAATGGATAAATAAAATTCGGGTGTGAAATAAAAACACGTACACATACGTACTGGTCTCTGCCTCCGGTTCCTGGAACGAGGCTCCTGAAGCCCTCGGAACTCCTGACGAGGCCGCTGGGAGCATCTTCTGTTCTAACACTGGGTCTCTGACCCTGTTCCTGACACACAGTCCCTAAACCCCCTGGAGTTTCCTGGGTGACAGGGGCGTCCTTTGTTCTCATGAGGCGACTCCAGGGGGGCTTCTGGGTGGCTCCTGGTCACCACAACGACCAAGCCGTGATTAGAAGCTCGGAGCTTCCAGCCCCGCCCCATTCTCGGGAAGGCAAGAGGGCTGGAGACTGAGTTAACCATCACTCATGCCTCTGTGATGAAACCTCCGTAAAATCCCAACAGCGTGGGGTTCAGAGAGCTTCCAGGTCGGGGAACACACCTACGTGCCAGGAAGGTGGCAGCCCAACTCCACGGGGACAGAATCTCCCGCACCTGGGACCCTTCTGGGCCTCGCCCCCTGTGCCTCTTCAGCCGGCTGTTCATCTGTGTCCTCTCCTCCGGGATAAACCAGGAAACCTGAGGAGCGCTCCCCCCGAGTTCTGTGAGCCCTTCCAGCAAATTATCAAACTCTAGGAGAGGGTCACAGGAACCCCGATTTACAGCCAGTTGGTCAGAAGCCCAGGTGACAACCTGGGGCTGGTGGCGTATGAAGTGGGGTCAGTCTTGTGGGCCTGAGCCGTCAACCTCTGTGACACTGACCCCAGGCAGATGGCTATCAGAACTGAACTGAACTGCAGGACACCCAGCTGGTGTGATCCAGTGGCGTGATGTGTGGAAAGCCCACACACTGGTGTAAGAAGTGCTCCAAGTGTGGCGGCAGTGTGAGAACAGAGGAGAAACACAGAGGTGTGAGGGTTTATCAGTGGCATAACCGTACAAGGGCATATTATTCAGCCTTAAAAAGGAGTGAAATTCTGACACACACACTACAACACAGGTGAACCCAGAAGACATGCTGAGTGAAATAAGCCTGTCACAAAAGGACAAATCATGTATGATTCCCCTAACATGAGGCTCTTAGGAGTCAAACGTCAGTCGAGACAGAGTCGCATGGGGACTGCCAGGGGCTCAGGGGAGACAGGGATTGTTTGATGGGTTGAGAATCTGGGAAGATGAGGACGCTCTGAGACGGATGGTGGTGGTGGCTGCACAGCAGTGTGAACGCACTTAGTGCCACTACACTGTACACGTAAACGTTTTTTTTAAATGGTTAAAACGGTCAATTTTACATTATGGTAAATTTTACTACAATCTAAAAAAGACAGAAGAAGCACGTGTTATTCCCCCCCAAAATCCAACACCGAAACCTTTACCAATCAGGGCTGCAGGCTGCCTTATTAAAATACTTATGGTTTGGCGTCACTGCTAGGAAAATACTCGTTTTATCAAAACTGTCACGTTCACTTTTAGACATCTCTTCTTCTTGCTACCTCAAAAAGCCAAAGGGCAGCAATTAGCGCTCCCCGGGCTCCTGCTCTGTGCCACCAGGCCCGCAGCACAGGCTGCACCAACGCGCACGAGGGAGCCCCGCTGATCCCACAAGGGAGCGCCGTCCCCGCACCCTAACCTGAAACGCCCGTGGGCCCCGGGGCTCCTCCCCGCGCGGAGCCGCTCCCATCACACTCCTTCCACGCGGCCCTACCCGCACCGCGGACCACCACCACTCTCCCCAGGCAGAAGCAGAACACCGCAGCACACAGCAAGGCCTTTCCAGACAATGGACGACATGCAAGTCAAGTCACAGCAGACTCGGCCTGCAAATCCCTCCCCACCTCTGCGTCTCCGGCCACCCACTCTTCCCTTTTAAGACGCTGGTTCTGAGATCTCACTCATCAGAGCGCCTACACCCCAGCTCCATATGAATACAAACATATACACATACACACATGAACCCATGAAGGCCAGGACTACGTGACTGCACTGATAAAACCAGCAGTCTCCATCGATAAATTAACACTGCTTCAGGGAACGAGGGACTACTGGGCAGACGTGCTCGGGAGGCCTGCCATTCCCCCCCGTGACGCCACGCAGGACAGCACTGCGCACACACACGCAGAGGCCGTGCGCATACCGGAGTGACACAAATCACAGATCCCAGGCCGCAGAGAGAACCTGCGATTCCACGACGTGAATCTAAGCAGAAATGAAAACAGTGCCAGTACCACTCACTATTCCCTTTCAAAACAAGATAAGCACCTGAGTGATTTTTTAAATTCAGTAATGTTAAGCAATTGCAGAAAACCTAAGGAAAGCGATGCATTTTAAAATGCTATTATGAGCACAAAGAAAAGGACAGAAATTACTTAACCGTACGTGACGGGCAAAAGCACCCACAGCAAGAAACCCACCACAGCAAGAAGCCGCCACAGCCTGCGGGACAGAGCCAGCTCTCAGTCCTGACAGCAGCCCTACAAAGGGCGATAAGGTTTACCTTATGTAAAAGCGTAACCACAAAAATAAAGCCCAACAGATTTGAGATGTTTCTCCTCACAAAGGGAAAATAACAGAGTAAGCCTCTATTTTAAAGTGCTGATGTCGCAACGGAATGAAGAGCTAGCCTGTGACCGTGCAGCCCTTTCCCCAGCGCGGGGGCAAACACCACTCCCCCTCGCAGAAAGGACACGGGAGACTGGCCCCGCCCAGGACAGGGGGCACGTGCCCTGCCTCCTGCTCCCCCGCCGGCCACTCACCGCTGGGCTTGATCTCGCGCACGTAGTTGCTGGGGAACCAGCCGGTCCTGCCGCTGTGCGTGCCCTCCCACCAGCCCCCTTCCTCCACCCGCGTGACGTGGATGACGTCGCCTTTCGCAAAGGACAGCTCGTCTTCATTCGTCTGCTGGAAGTTAAACTTGGCTCTTACGACCAGCTGATTGTTGCTATTATCCGTCATGTCCTAAAAAGGGGAGAAGGGAGGAGATGTCATGAAGGACACACATTCTACACTGTGATGACACGAACAGATTTCGCTTGGACAGACAGGGCGTAACCACCCCGTTCATGTGGCAGAGGAGCGCTGGACACACCAAAGTCCCCACGGCCCTGTCCACTGCCCCAGGTCCAGTCCCGGAGGAAACCCTCAATGGCTGCAAAGGTCTTATTCCTGCCAGTGTGGTGCCTACGTGAGCAGAGACACACTTTCACACACATTTACACGCTACACACTTCTCTACAGTTTGCAACAAGTTAATACACTGTGAGCATTTTCCTAGCAGTCCTTAATTACTTCAGTCTTAACTAACTGCTTAATATTACACTGTACGGCAGTGCCATTAGTCACTTAACCAAGTCTCCACTACTAGACTTGAGACCATGTCTAGTTGCTTTCTACTGCAAAACAAGGCTGCATCAGAACTGTCTGCACATGTCTTTGCACACGCCTGTAAATGAGCCGATACGTTAAATTCAGGTCAGAGAACACGGATGACACATTTTAAATCTTAACGCCCATTGCTAAGTTGCCCTCCAAAAAGGTCCCAGACATTCCCGCCAGCAGCGTCTAAGACGTCTGACTGCTTCAAACACTCACCGACACTGGATACTGCCAAACCGACAGGAAGAAAGGGTACCTCATTTTAACCTGCATCTTTCTCAGAGATTAAGCCTAACTGCAGATCTCTGAAAAGTGGGCAGAGGAAGGCAGACTGGCTGGAAGGTCTGTCTCCATCTATCCCAGACCGGGTGCTGGGGAGGCCTGCAACCTGGAACTGCCAACGAAAGTCGACAAACAAAAATCCCCAAGCAGAGTCTGCTCTCCTGGCCAAAGCGGCGGGAAAGGGACAGCACATGGGCCACTCAGCCAGCACGCGGGTGTCCAAGGGGACCAAGCAGGACGTCCCGTGGCCCACCAAGCCCCAGAGCTCCTCCAGCACCAGTGACATCAGCCAAGATGAGGCTGGGAGTCCAGCGTCCAGTCCCCCCAGGTGGCAGCAGGCAGCCCCACATGCCCACACAGGTGTCCCCTGCCCTCCACCCAGCCTCGTGGGGGGAGCCAGGCCCAGCGTCTCCCCGACCCCCCTCCAGCAGCACTGTCAGGGGTCCAAGAGAAACCCCAGTGACACCAGGTCAATGAGTCTGACCCGACACCACTGCAAGGAAACCAAGCTGTCCCCAGAACCACGGTCTACCACCCTCAGCCAGGACCGCCACACAAAACCCCATCAGCCAGGGCTGCAGCCGCAGACGCAAGATCTCAGCAGGATCCAGCATCTTCCAACACACTCTCCAAAGTGTCTAGGATAGAACTGAAGACACCCCTTATTCCAAGAACAAGGAAAATCAGAGCCTGACTGAGAGAAGACATGGATCCCGACACTAAGATGAAGCTCTCTCAAAACAGACAAAATAGAAAATCCCAGAAATGAAACAGAACTTACAAAATCTACTCAAACTGACAGAGTGAAAAAAAATTAAGAGAGCCCCAGGGACTTGGGGGAAATGACAAAGATCTGAGATTGGAACCATCGAAGTCTTGGAGGAGAAAGGACAGAGTTGAAAAGGAGTCTAAGAAATACGGCTAAAAATGTCCCAAATGTGACAAAAGACACAAACACACAGGGTCAAGAAGCTGAGTGAACCCCACACAGGACACACCTAAAGAAATCTGGACCAAGTCACACTGTAACTAAACTGCAGAAAACTAAAGACAAAAAAACTTTCGTCTCAGGATAAAAAAGACGTCTGCGGATATGCAAGATCTGAACAACTTTACCTCCCCTGCACCCTTGCTCAAGAAGTTAGTATAAGATGCACTCCTCCAAAACAGGGAATTAACCACGAAAAAGTGAAGACACAGAAAGACGTGGAGGAAGTCGACTCGGGTCAAAGGAGTCTGCAGGTGATGAGGGAAGCACAGAGGCGGCAGCTGGCACGTCCTGGCTGCAACCAACAGACGCTCCGGCAGCCAGAAGACTTCACCAGCGGCCCCCAGGAAGAGGAAACTGAAAAACCCTAACACGTCTGAATGTGCAAAGACGAGATTCTTTCAAGAAAGGCCAAAGACCAGACTATAATCTGCACAAGGTGCACAGAAAACTAAAGAGGCAACAGAAGGTCATCAGGCAAGCACAGTCCCAGCACACGGTGGCCCCACTGTGAGTCTGGGTCATGATGATGTTGCACTAACACCCACCCAACGAAGCCACTACAGGACTCAGCCACGGGAAGGGAGGCCCAGAAGCACCCGTGAAGCTAAGGCCCAGGGGAAGTGGAAGAGCCCTGATGCCCCCTGCCACTGTGGGACGTCCACAGTGGCAATACTGTTATTTAAAAAAAAAACCCAAACCAACCTTTATATAAGGCATTTTATTTAGAGAGACACAGAGAAAACATGGGAAGCGGTTGTGTCTCTACTGATTGTTTCCTAATAGCAAGTCTTGCAGAGTTACCTGAGTCTTTAAACTAGGTTCATGTATCACTAAGCAAGATGAAAAAGATAAAGCACAAACAGTGCTCAGGCAGAACGTCGAGAAGAGGAGCTGATAGAATGCCTAAAATAGTTCATGTGTGTTTATCTATTTATGTGTTTATACGTCAACTGCTATAAATCATGTTTATTTAATAATTCAAATTAATACATTAAATATCTAACGGATTAAACATTTAATGCATACTTCACATTTAATACTTAGAATATTCGATAAAGCAATCTCTCATCCACATTTGGCAGGAAGCCTCTGGCTGACCACTGTCCCCTCAAACGTGGGGTGGCAGGGGCACCTGAGCGGTGAGGGCCAGACAGGGCTCACGTCACAGCCGGGACACAGCACACACACGCTGTCCTCGCTCTGCTCAGAGAAACATGACCCGCTCATACACTGTGTCAGGTTCTCTCTCTCTGCAGACCACTGTCATCATTCATCAGCCGTCTACTCTGATCTCCATGACATTCTCCTTTTTGTGACTTCCCCTGGCTTTGCAGAGCCGATTCGGGTGACAAATTCCAATAACGAACATGACACGTAACAAACACAGGTGCAGAGCAGGCCCCTAAGGAGGTCAAACTGCCCTGGGAGCCCTGCTGCCGGCCTGTCTGTCCCCCTACTGCTGGGCGCACACCGGGCGGCATCCAGGTGGCACACGGGGCTCTCATCAGGACGCTGCCGAGGCGGTGACCTACACTCTCCCTACAGCTGCAGGCCAGGCAAACACCAGGGACGCCTTCCCCACCTCAGAAAGGGACACTCCACTAAGCACAGGACAGGGTGACGTCTGCACAGGGCCAGGCGGCCAGGCTGGACCCCTTCGTTCTGACGCCACAGGTTCCCAGCCGTGGAGCACGGCCTACACTCAAGGATGGGCTCTAGGAGCGCTGTGAGCGGGCGCGAGCCCAGGCGGGGTGAGGACCACGCACCAGGCAGACAGCCCAGCCGTCCGCACGGGGGGCTACCGCCACCACTGCTGCTGCCCTGGGAGGCTGGAAAGGGCGTATTCAGTCACTAGCTTACCGCTTCAGCTCTTTTCCTCCCTTTTCTAAAAGCTCCCCTGAAACGAGGGGTGGAGAAATCATTATTCCCTTTTTTTTTTTAAATAAATGTATTTATTTTATTCTTGGCTGCGTTGGGTCTTCGTTGCTGCGCGTGGGCTTTCTCTAGTTGCGGCGAGCGGGCGCTGCTCTTCATTGTGGTGCGTGGGCTTCTCACTGCGGTGGCTTCTCTTGTTGAGGAGCACGGGCTCTAGGCGCGCGGGCTTCAGTACTTCTGGCACGTGGGCTCAGTAGTTGTGGCTCGCGGGCTCTAGAGTGCAGGCTCAGTAGTTGTGGCGCACGGGCTCAGTCGCTCCGCGGCATGTGGGATCTTCCTGGACCAGGGCTCGAACCCGTGTCCCCTGCAGTGGCAGGCGGATTCCTAACTACTGTGCCGCCAGGGAAGTCTGAAATCGTTATTCTTACCTAGCAGGTCAAGAGGAGTCTCACCGCATTCGCCTCGTGAGTGGCTCACCGGGTCCACGGCACAGGCAAGGTGGCTGGGGCTTTTTAGTTCTGATGTAACTTGAACTTTCTCTTGCTAATGAAACACCAATGCTATACTTACCGTGATCTCAGCAACATTCATCACAAGAGAACATTTAACTTTATCTTACTAAAATTATTCCTTTGCAATCCAGTCCTCATTTACTCAAAAACAAAACAAACAAAAAAACCGACGACTGCCACAAGCGAATGGGTCAGACAGCAAAGGTTTCTTTATCCAAAGCTTGATTTCTCTTGCATTTTCCTGGCATATTTCATAGAGCTAATTGAAACTATTTTTCAAGTGGTCTGGGCATCTTCCCTTGCTTTGGCCCACAGAGCTTGCAATGGGACCCTCTAAGTCCGTCCAGCTTCACGGGGTGGCCATGAGGGTCACATGAGTCAGTCCAGGTGAGACACGGAACCAGCCAGAGCTGGCACAGAGAAAAAACGCTCAGGCGTGTTGTGTTGTTCACAAGGCCTGAAACAGGGCAATGGGACTTCTCAGAGAGGAAGAACAGTCACAGACACACAGCATGGAGAGTTAGTTCGAGTTCAAAAAGTTCAAAAACACATAAAAATCATATCCCTTCTACAGCTCTCCGTTTTTACCGCTGCTTCGTGACCAAACTCAAATTAACTTCTCTCTACAACACACAGCTCCAACGAGGTTAACTTCCGTTTCCGAGGATCACACCAGCTTACTGGGCAACACTCTCTTGTGGTAAAGTAGAGAGCGGCGGTCTCTGAAGACTCCAGGGGGGTCGGTTCTCTTCAGACTCACAGGACGAGCTCCCTGATTCTCTAACATACAATAATTTACTAAAGTGTCGCATGAAGCGAAGTCACAGCACCGGCTGATCGAGCTGAGGACCAGGCCACCATCCGGTCCAGAGCGGGCTCGGCTGTTCGGCAGGTGGACACACGCCCTGGCTGGCGGATGGGGCGGCCCCTCCCCACGGTCTCCGCTCGGCCCTGTACTTCACCTTCTCAGGTCCTCATTTCCAAGCCTGTGCTCGCAGCCTGTCTCCTGACGATTTACAAATGGGTTTTCCTCACTTTCCAGGAGGACTGTTCATCTCAGGTGGCTTCCCCACCTCACCAGCACCGTTATAAGAGAGTCCCTCCTTCACAAGCTGCATCCTGACTCAGTAGGGTGCTGTCACGCTTTCATAAAGAGAAAAAAACCCTCTAGGTTCTTCGGCTTCCAGCCATTTCTTCATCATCTAAGTACTAGGTATGGATTTCTTATTCCCAAACTTCCGTACCTTTGTGCAGAGTAGATAAGAAAATATGATGCAAGTGACCAGGAAAACATTTTAAAGGTCACATCCCTCCAGATAAACAGGTCTATATCTTAAAATAGAGCGCCCCAAATACACAGATTTCTTAGAAGCCGTCATGAAGCACGACACGCGGATAATCTGGTGATGGGCAAACGTCAGACCCGAGAATAGGAGCAACGGCAGCAAAGGCAAACCACCCTCTGGCTGAGCAACTCCCCGGAGGCCCGTGTGTCCTTCCAGACACGCTGCACACGCCCGGCTCCCCAACACACTCCCGTTCTCAGGGACCAACTCTCACACTTACCAAACTCCGATACTGGCCCTGGAACAATTTTGAAGTCCGACCGTGCGAAGGCTGGGATCCCAGGGAGTCAAAAGACTTGATCCGGTGAGAGGAGGGCCGGGCACACACGGAGTCACTTCCCAGGCCGATGTCTGCAAGGTCGTCACAGGGGAGAGAGCAAGCTGAGTCCCCTGACACTGCGCCCACACCCCGCACCGGGCTCCGAGGGTCAGGGGGCCACCCGCGCAGGAGACCAGGAGCAGAGTCCCCGCCACGGGACCGAACGACCGCACGCGCCCCAGGCACCTTCCCGGGAAGGTGAACAGAACTATTTAGCAGTCCTTCTCCAGCTAAGTTCCGAGTTTACAACGTGTTTCGTAACTGTTTTCAGTACTTTCCCCTCACCTGGAAACAAGAAGCCCCTCACACTCGACTCCTGAGCAGACAGACTCCCCCCGCGTCCCCCCCGCACGCCCACTCCTCCAGGATCGCTCTTCGCGCAGTGGGCGAGCCGCAAGCCTGATCGTGCCAGAGACGGAAAAGACTCTCTTACTTGAAACAAACGGAACCCCCTGGCACTTTCCGTCCAGAAAGGCCCTTCTGAGGATGATGCCCTCGGCACGACGGCAGGCACACTTCACTCACCTCACAAGGCTGTGAAAGGACGAGAGACCACACAGCACTAAAGGCTCAGATCTCTCTCTGGAGTCGCTGCAAGATCACACACCCCACTCAGGCCACCAGCACGTAAATGTCAGCAGCCCACTTCGCAGAAGCGATGTGATTTTTTTAAAATGAGGCCACGAGAGAGTTTTCTAGGGAAATCACTGTTTTGACATGCACGCGCCTAGCAATTTCCTACAGCTATGTGGGGGGCCTTCTATAAAAATGTCCTGAAACTGGGGGTCTCCAGGTCCTCTTTCTCTGGCAGATCCCTTTGGATTGGCTTACACAGCGTCTTATGACATTCTGAATTAGGTACCAACAACTGGAAGTCTGGGGACTCCCCAGGGAAACCGGCATTCCCAGCTGTTCTTGAAGCACCGGGGCTCTGGCGCCTCTGGCTCTGCGCTCCCTGACTGACCCAGAGCTGAGCAGGGCCCACGCGGGCAGAGCAACCGCTGCCCTCTGCCCCCCTCGCTCCTCCATGCTGCCTGCCGGGCTCCACGGACCTGGCGTCCGGAACCCCTGTCCTAAAACCACCTTGACGTCTCGGTGTGGAAGCCCCTCCAATTCTCAGGCCCTGCTCAGTGCTGGCAGTAAGGGCCAGTGTTTGCTCCCGCCGTGTGGCAGAGGCCTGGCAACTGCGAGCACAAACAGCGCCCAGAGGACAGGCGTGAAGAAGCTGCCCCAGTGGCCGCCTGCCGTACCCAGGGAGTGTTTAGGATCCCTTCCTTCCCCACCTCCAATCTCTCCTCTGTCCAAGTAAAAGGCAAGTATTCCTCCACAAGCCTGGAGAACACGAAAGGTCTCCCTGAAGTGCCGGAAGCAGAGGAAAGACAGTGACGGGCTTCCCCAACAACGACCCTGGAGTCAGCAGGTGCACCTGTCTTACACTTGCGTCAGCCCCTACAGCCGACGGCTGAAAAGGCACCGTCACCTCCTTCACGCTGACTTCAGAAACACAAATGAAGAGCAGCAGCCAACAAACACAGAAGCAGAAAGTTCTCTTCACCTGAGAAGGCTCAGTCCTCTTGTTTAAAAGCTGAAGAGAGAAGTACCAGGTTTATTTCAGAACTTCCAAACAGGTCTTCGTAAAGAACAGCGCTAGATGCTCTGCGTCCAGGGTATATCCAATGATGTCAAGAACACACGAGAAACACTTCTGCATCAGATGGGGGTGGGAACGATGGTAACACATGCCCAGATGATACAGCTCCCGGCCTGTGTCCATGCTTCCCATGGCCTGCGGGGCTCCGCCTCGATCACCGAGGGTCTCGCGGCCCGGTGGACGGAGCAAAGCCGCCCTCGTCGCTCCCCCTCTCCTTCCGACCCACCGGAACTTACACACCCAGAGCGAGAGCAAACCTGCCGTCTCCCACCCGCGGCCTCACACGTGGGGACTGTGTCTACCAAAGCCGCTCTCGCCCCAGCTGCCAGAGAGCGAGCCCAGCGGAGGGCAGTGAGTGTCAAACTGCGGCCCAGACGCCGGCAAAGTGCTGCAGGCGGGCCGGGGCCGGGGAGGCGCCCGCGCTGCACCCGCCGCCTGCACGCACTCCTCCCCTGTGAAGCCCATTCATCGACTGCCAACGCTCCGACCGCGGCAGGCCGGCTCCTTTACTATCTGTCTGCTCACGTTAGGTCTATCGCTTCTCCCCGGAGGGATCGAAGAGGCAGCACGAGCTTGACAAAACGCCACAAGCCCCCTGTCTGGAGGGTGCGATGGCTGCATGTCCTTATGTCCGCCTTGATGCCCCCACTTCTCCGCCCCCTCTCGCTCTCCTCCTGGACTTGGACCCTCACGCTTTCCTACACTCGCTCACCTGGGTCCTAATTTAGCGTGTCCTCAGGTGCTGTCACCTCAACAGCCCAAGACATTCTCAACTTCAAGCCCGAAGTCAAGCTATGAAAAGGGAAGCCCTGCCCGGGACGGCGGGCAGCACAGGCTGCTCTGGGCGCACGTCCGCAAGCGCAGACAGCGGGGCAGCGCCCAGACAGCCCTCTCAGCAAACGAGTGGCGTGAGGGGCCCCGGAAGCGGTTCCTGCAGCCCCGAGCGTTCCAACCCCATCCCGTCCCCACACAGTGAGGAAGGGTAGGGGCGAAATGAGAGGAGACCCTGACAAGAGAAACTTACTTTTTCTGGTCAAAAGAGACAGTATCAAGGGCTAACTGCCCCTCCCAGGGATCTGAAACTACAGTCCGTAAAGGTAAGTAGAAAACAAACATGACTTTAAAACAAAAGAGCCTCTAAGCCCTTCTGGTGCCTCAGGCAGCCTCCAGGCCCGAGCTAGCCCCACAGGAGCACAGACAGACCCCGCTGTCCTCTCCGCGGTCGGGGAGCCCACCTCTCCCTAGAGGTGCAACTGGAGCTTGAACCCGCAGCCCACAGAGCCCAGGTGCCCTCGTCACCCTCAGGAAACCTGGCCCAGGTAGGTGTTTACTGTAGAGACCAGCTCACTGGCTGCACCTCAAAAACAGGCACTAGATCTGCTCACGAGATCTGAGCTTTAATCAGCATGAACTCCAGAGCAAGGTGCTTCACGCTCCAGGACAGCCCATGCGTTGCCCCTGTGAACAAGGCACTCCCCCTCTGCTGTACTTTCCTCTCTGCTCACAGGAAGGAAAGCACTGATATCTACCAGGACCTAAAGAGGAAGACTCTGCTCGCAGCAAAGGTGACAACCAGAATTTTAATGCAATCCTTTTTTAAATTCAATAACGTTCACTCTGCCTCACTAACACAAAAGCAACAAGGTTTTTGCCCCTTTTTCTTCCCCTCCCCTCAAATTCAGTAAAAAAGAGACTTACCTGCTGTTACTTTATTTAGAGTCACTAAGGAGCTGAGGACCTTGTTGAAATTCTGCCCCTGATACAAATCGTTTGCATCAAATGTCTGAAAGGGAAAAGTGAACAAGCAGAATTAGCAGAGTCCAGTGTCGGGCAGTTCTGCGCAGTAATAGGAAGACAGTAGGCTTCGCAGGCGAGACCCCAGGAGGTGGCACACCTGGGAGCTCGGCTTCCGGTCGGAACAGGAGGCCAGGCCAGATCCCCTTACTGGGGCCGCTCTGGGCCCGAGTCCAGCTTCCTAACCACCACGTCCCCACCCTGCCTCACCCTCCTTCATAACCTGGGGCACTGCTGGCACTCCGTGAAGGCTCCTCTCCTTAGACTGAGGCTGAGGCCTCAGGGCAGGCCTACTACAGACTTCCTCTCCTGGCCACAGCCGATGCCAAAACCAACAGCAGCAAAAGGGAAACGCCGACATCAGAGAGGATACGAGAGGGAAGGAAGGGAAGGCAGGAGAGGCCGATTCCAGAAGAGGGGGAGCGGGGACACCGCCACCCTCGGGGCAGAGCACGAGGCCAGACCAGGACCGTCTAGTCTGCATCGCTGCAATCTCGGCCGCCTAGAGACCGGGGACGCGCCCAAGCTAGTCCCCTCCCCGCCCACCCTCCAACACCCAGGAGCTGAAAGATGCTGCGCATCAGGCTGCCTAGACACAGCACGGCTGATCCACGATGCGTGCGCAAACACACGCGCTCAAGCAAACACGGCTCATCCCCAAACACTGTCTGAAGACCACATACACCTTCTGATCACTGAATAACTCCTTCCCTCCCCCCAAAAATTTAATAGTCAAATCATCCACAGCTCGGTGCCAGAAAAATTATGAAAAAAGTTCTTTGAGATGCAGTTAACAGAAAGATGTGTTTAGATGCCCAAATGAAAACTGTGTTAACATTCTTCAAAGGTTCTCTCACTGTGGCAAAAATGAACTATGGTGACCAGTCATCCCAGGAGTGACTTCCTCTGCAGGCCGCCTGTCACCCCTCCCCCGACTCGGCGGCTCCTCTATCCCACACCCTGCCAGGAGCCCCGGCTTCCCCCCTTCCTGCTTCTCCCTCCCCCTGCACAGCTACCTCTCACTCATCCGGCTCCCGCCAGCCTCACCCCCCGACCAGGCTCAGCAGGGCCCAGCCAGGCTCCCGGCACACTCATCACCACAACCTTTCGGTCTATGTGTGCGCGCTGCCCTAGACCGTGAAATCTACACAAGCAGACCTCACAACACCCAACATCCAGAAAATGGACAGCCCACAGTAAAAACACACATGTTCGCTGAATGGGTAACAAGGCACCAACCCAGCCCGTGGCACTGAATGTCACCGTGGGACAGACACATAAAGAGCAGCTGAGAAGAGCCATTCCAAATCTAAATAACCACTGCTATCTTCCACAAGTCTTCAGTCTTAATTTCTGAGATGAGTAGAAATCATCATGAGGTATGTTTATTTAAACATGAACGAGAGAGAGACAAATCCAGAAGCTGAAAAACCACCTCCAGGAAGGAGGCCATCAAATCCAAGTCAAGAGAGGAGCTGCAGACACAGAGCCGGGAAGGGAGCCGTAAACACAGACACCCAAAGCCCTCTGTGAATGTCACTCACGCATTTCTCATCTGATGGAGCAAAAAATAAAGCAATTCATGCTGCCAGATCCTGCCTGTAAAAAGGAGTATCCCCTTAGAACAGTCTTTAGAATCACCTAATAGCACAGACTTTAACTCATTTGTTCTGATATCTATTATTTAAAAAGAAATTTCCAAGTCAGATGAGAGCATGATCTAGGCTGATACATCCAGCTACATTTTGTAATGGGCTGGTTGCATTTTTTATCAAAGTATGACCCTCAACAGGCCTCAGCTTCCTTCTGCGCAGGACATAAAAGTGCCTTCTCTCATAAAAGGTGGGAGCAGGAGATCTCAGCTCTCAAGTTCTAATTCTAGAGCTTGGAAAATTCAAATCGTGGTATTCTGCAAAAAAAGAAATATACATGAAAACATCCACTAACCTTCATCGTGGTGAGGCAGAGAGTCACAAAACCCAGAAAAACAGGATGTTGAAAACTGAAATTTCCTGTTATTCCAGAGCTATATATCTTTCTTACTTGGATACCAGGAAGCGTCTGGTTGGCTGAAACGGCCCACCAATGGGCTCCAAAGTGACATCAGAACTTAAGTGAATTCACACACACACCACATTTCTTAACAGGAAGCTACACAATGAGATGAGACAAACGCCTGCCACCGAGAGGGAAAAAAATGCACGTTCTGAGTCAATAAAATGTTTTGACTAAGGTGCTTCTCTAGAGAAAGAAAACTGACTACTTCCTGAAATAGAAATCTATTCAACAAAAAGCAAAGACTGAAAAATCTTAGGGTACAGAGAAAGTCTGTACTGTGGGAATAGAGGAAGGTCTCATTAACAGGGCACACAGTGACCCCGGGGCGCTCATGCTTAGGAGATAAGCCTGCCCCTCCCGTGGACCTGCCGTGCGGGCTGAGGGCACACACACCCACCCTCCACGCCTCTCAGGTCCACGCTCCCATGCCTTTCCTCAGGGGGTTCTCAGGAGGGGCCGCACGTTAGGATCTCCCAGGACCTTAGAAAACCAAGACACTCAAGCCACATCCCAGACTAATTATCAACAAATTAGAATCTCCAAGAAAGGGACCCCGAATCAGAATGTTAACACTCGTCAGGTGATTCCATGCAGCCAACGGTGAGAAGCCCCTCCCTGGAGAGAGAGGGAAGGTGTCAGGAACCCTCTCCCCAGGCAGGCTCACTCCCTCGCACCCATGACCATCCCTTATAAGCACAGAGAAGAGGGAACACATACCCCAAAGATCTTGGAATCTACCCAACTGGGAACGTGTATTTCCAAAAACTCACCCTCACTTTTATATTTAAGTGAATTAAAGGTACAGTAGACTAATCCAATATTCTCAAACTTATCCTACCAGTTTTCTACCAAAGAAACTCATAATATTAAATGTATTAGTTATAGTTCATTTTTAATATCTTACTTTCAAAAGAAACAATACTACGTAATGCAATACAACAAATACCACACCATGTGGAAACCAGGCTAGAAGGGACCCAGAGTATTTAAAGTGGGACATAAAAATACTTTCTGAGACGTGTCTGTCGTCACCCACAAAGGGGAGTGAGGTTGGGACGAGCTGGGAAGGAGGTGGACAGTCCTTCCGAGCTTGAAGGCTGCCCCCCCGTGGTTACGGCCCTACTCCGTGTACTGAAGCCCTCTGGGCCTCGGCTTCGCATCCTTGAGACGGAACAAGGAACAGTCAAAGGCCTGAGGATGAGGACGCCAACGGCGGGAGGCAGCACCGTGCCAATGACCCCCAAGTTCAAAAATGAGTGAAATTACAGATACTCAATCTTGTACACCAAACCTCAAGGTCTCCTGAAAAAACTGACCCATTGATAACTACGTTCAACCTAGGAAAATTCTTTTTCTGTAATACAAACAACTACAAAACAAAACAAAGAAACCTTCCTCAAGGTGGGGTGCTCAGGAACGGAGAAGAACACTCGAGAGCCTGTGCAGAGGACAGACCACACGGCTCCGCACAGCGGCAGGCGCTGCCCTCCACGGGCCCCCAGCAGCGCCCCAGCTCGCGCTTGGGCGGGTGGCCACGTCACTCGCCGCAACGCCAAGGCCCCCCGCAGAGCTCTGTGCACACCAGAGGCGGCAGCAGCTCCACCACCGGCATCGCTCCGCGTCTGTCCAGCAGAGGTCCAGGTCCTCAGAGCACCCAACGCTCTGACCACTGACCCTCAGAAAACACTGGCAGTGCCACACCACCAAAAGGGCTGAGCCTGAACGTCAAGCACCTGGCCCAAGCTCAACCTCCCAGCCTTCACTTCTGCCAGCCCTCTAAATTATCCTATTTTGACATATTCCTTATTTCTACTTAATATCACATTTCCAGATGTTCAGGTTTAGTTCCAGAACTAACACGTGAAATAAGGAGGACTCATCTGCACCTAAGGAAGATGAGGCTGCACATATGTCGACCGTCACCAGCACCAACCTGGCAGGGCGAGGCCATCAGGGTGACCCACATGCATGGGCCGGAGCTCTCAAACGTGCAAACCGCTAGCCAGAAAGAGGATGACTGTGCTTTGGCAGAAAGAGCCGCCGTGGTTTTCAGGGAAGTGTCACCAATAATGTTGTAAAATAAACAGGTTTCCAAGGCACGAGATAAGAACTGATGCGTCAATCCAGAACGTTCACGTTCATCCCACTATTTTCCAACTTCCTTTTTTTATTCTTTTAAAATTTATTTATTTATCTATTTGTGGCTGCATTGGGTCTTCGTTACTGCGTGCGGGCTTTCTCTAGCTGTGGTGAGCAGGGGCTACTGTTTGTTGCGGTACGCAGGCTTCTCATTGCGGTGGCTTCTCTTGTTGCAGAGCACGGGCTCTAGGCACGCGGGCTTCAGTAGTTGTGGCTCTCGGGCTCTAGAGCGCAGGCTCAGTAGTTGTGGCACACGGGCTTAGCTGCTCCGTGGCATGTGGGATCTTCCTGGGCCAGGGTTCGAACCCGTGTCCCCTGCGTTGGCAGGCGGATTCTTAACCACTGCGCCACCAGGGAAGTCCCCCAACTTCCTCTGTCTAACTCCAGGTCACCCCTAAAGAGGGGTGTGCGTCCCCACCCACTGCCACGCCTTCCCATGGGTTCCGGCCAACGAGCTGTGAGCACACGTACCCGCTCTGAGCAGGACAATGCGTGCCAGGCCCCAAGCGAAGCTTTAGGAGCCTTCAGGCGTTTCAGCCAGCCTCCCCGGTCTTTTCCTTTAAGTGAGCATGGCAAGGCCCACACTGGAGCTGCCCCACCAGCCTGGACCCGAGAATAAAGAGGACACTCGGAGCAGAGCAACCCCGTCTCTGCAGCCAACAAGACGGGCAGGATACACCTTCAGTGTTGTCAGCCGCGGAGACGAGGGGGCTGCTGGCTAACACAGCACCCCCTGGCAAGAGCTGGCGATACATCCACATCCCACATTCTCCCTAACTGAACTGGCTCTTG